TATACTTTATTTAGACAAGAGCAGATTGTTTCTGCCGTTTAATTCTCCCGGAATCTTCAGTTCATCCTACTTGAGGTTATTTGCGTGTTTAAATTATGGTCAAAATTACAATCACCAATACTTTTACCATGCATGGTTTTCGGTCAGGTATTTGCAAGCCAGGTATTTCATTTAATGGTGTTATGGAATGCTGCTCCGCTAAAATGGGTTTAAAATGGTCTGATTCGATTTTAAAGTTCGGCAAAAACGCCTTTAACACAGTGACTAGGATTTATATACCAACAAAACCCCTCGGAAGATTATTTCTGAATCAACTATAGAATAGAGTACAAGTCAAAAATCATATTCTATAAGTTTCAGTTCAATAGTGGCACATCTTGCTTGGCAGTAGATCCACAAAGTTAATGGTGAGCACCTTTAAGTTACCATATTCAAAAGATACAAGTCGAAGATAATAGTGTAAAACGTCCCTCAAACATGATGTTATTAATGCAAGTTAAACATTTGGAAGCGCATAAAACTTCTATCCTAAGAATGGCAGAAGAAAGCGAGAAACAGTTAATGTCACAAAACATTGGCTTAGCATAAAGTAACTGAACCTTTCAGCTTAAGACTGAATTTATGAGTACGGTAATATGCAAAATGCATCAGAAACGGAGGACGTAACACGAATAGCAATGACAGAAGGGCAAAAAACGTGGTCAATTTACCTCTTCTTCCTGCATTTGTGATGCAAAGATGTCGGCCATCGACGTAGGTGCACCGCCAACATTGCTGGAAGAAACGGCACCCCAACGAGCAGTGGGGGGTAATTTGAGGTCAGCTAGATTGGCAGCAGCCTCTCGCATCGCAGCTTCCCGAGCTTTTTGCTGCTGCAATAGTCGCTGCGCCTCCTCCTGCTGTCGCCGAGCTGCTGCCGATAACTTGATGGAGGCAGCGACCACCTCAGCCTCCGCCGCTGCTGCTGCTGCTGCGACCGCCTCCTCCTCGGCCTGAGCGATTCGCTCCGCGTTCGCCCGACGCCGCCGTTGCTCCTCTTGTTCCCAGGCCTGCTGATGCAACTCACTTGCTGTTGGCCTGATGCGAAGAAAATAATAAGTGACAGTGGAAAAGCAACAATACTAGATTCTATTACAACGCAAGACTGCTACCGTTGCATCCTACGTCACATTAAATTATAATGACAGAAAAATCCCAATAAAGGCTCTCAGCGTCTGACAAGTGTTTCGACATCCCGTCAACATCGC